CCCTTGATAGTTTATAAATGGGTATTTTGTCATATCTTGCCCTGTCCGACGTCTCCCTTCATCCACTTTTCCGTTGTCTGTCCCCCAGGGAGGAGGTCACACACAGTTCCATGTAATCGGTTCCCTCTTTCCTACCCAGGAAAATGGGTTTTGTAAGTACCTTCCAACTTCTTTTCTCATTTAGTCCCCATCTTGGGAGGGGCCTTAGGCCACAGTGGTTACATCCTTGGCCGCTAACTGAAAGATTGGAAGTGTGAACTGAGTGGCTGGCCACTCTGGGGCCGGAAGGTGGATCGGTAGGTAGCCTGCTTCCATAAAGATTTGCAGATTTGGAAACCCTTTGGGGTAGGCCTTCTTATTCTGTCTTATGAGTCAGAATCAACCCAATGCAACAGGTTGGAGTTGGGTAATAACTCTTAGCGGGGAACTGGTTTACCGGTGAGGAGTGTGAACTGGAAGGTTTTACTGGTGCCGAGAGGAAGTCGTCTGCTTTGCTGGTCTCGCTTCCCTCTACTCCCTGCCAGGACGACCTCTGTGGACGAACTTCCAAGGCTCCCTTGACTCTGGCTTCCAATGGAGGCCAATGGAGGGCACTTACGGAAGAGGGAAGAACAAGGAGAGAGAAGCCTGGGTACTTCTTGCCCCCCCACCCCCCACCTCCTTGATGCTGGTGCTATGTGGATGATGTGGCTGCTCCTTCACCAGCCCTAGGAAGTTCCTGCTTTGCTGCCCACTACAGGACTCCAGCTCCTTTTCTTTACCCTGTCAAAATCAGGGGTGGCCCTTCTCTTTCCCCTGTTGCTAATCCCCCTGTTGATTCTCTAACCTCTGCCCACAGTTTACACACTTGCCCCTGCACTTAGACTTTTCAATTAAAATCTTTTGCGCGTGCCATATGTTTCCTGCTAGGCAGAACCTTGACTGATGGGATGATACCCAATTCTACTGCCCCCACATGGGAAAATCCCAGAACCTCTCCAACTAGAAATAGCCCCTTGGGGGCACCCTGGGCTGCAGTGTGTTACAGTGTGGGGCTGTTAACCGCAAGGTCAGCGATCTGAAATCACCATCTACTGGCAGGGAGTCGAGTGTCCACTTCGAACACTCAGGATCTTCTTCATAATGTGCAAGACAGCGGCGCCTCCAGAGCAGGAACATTGTACTGCGTTATAGTCCCCACGGCCATAGAGTTCAGACTCACGGTGAACCCACGTAGGGTTTCTGAGACAGTCTTATCTTTCCCCCCAGTGGCTGTTGGGCTTAAACTGATGACCTTGTGGTTATAAGA